TTCGGCGTCTGCTTGTTTTACTTCTCTTCGAATTGCTCTCCGTGATACGTCGCAAACGACGCTGAAGGGGCGATCCGGGTCCGATGGCGCAAGCCCCGGGGCCCGAAGAAGGCTCTCCTTTCACGGCGGAAGGCTTCGTCGGGTTCGACATCCCAGCACCACGGTACATCCCTCTTAAGGATATTCAAGAATGGCCGAGGATCTCCGCGTAATTTGCCCTGTACTTATGCAAATAATTACTAAGCCGAACCACTTACGTAAGCCCTTCTGGTTCTTGGGGACCGGCCAGTCCGCGATGGCCTTGACTTTAGCAGGATCAGCTCGTAAGCCTCTCTTTCCAATGAAGCAACCGAGGAAAGGTATCCCTTCCGCGCCGAAGACACACTACTCCACATTGGCATACGGCTTATTAATGCGCATACACTCGAGCCCCGCTCGCAAATGGTCAATGTGGTTTTCCACGTCTGACTTGCCGTACTTAGCACGACTATGGACGAAATTATCGGCAAAATACATCTGAGCGTACGCCCGGTGGGGCCTGAAAAACTGCGTCACAAGCCGGTTTCACGTTACTGGTGCGTTCGACAGCCCCGGGGGCATCACCAGCCACTCCCAGAGAAGACCGGTCGAAGTACTAATCGCTGTCAGCGGAATATCACTCGCACTCATGAGAAATTGTTAGTAGTCATCGACAAGCCGTGAGATCTGTACAGCGTAAACTCTACCGTGTTGTTCTGCAGAACATCCTTGCGAGGAATCGGCGTCTGTGCCGGAATGGTAGCCGCATTCAGCTTATTGAAATCATGAACAATGCGCCACTTGGCATTCGGCTTTCTGACACAGAAAGTGGGTGTCGAGTGCTGAGACTTACGCTCACGCGCCATTCCTGTCTCGTGCTTTGCGCGGAAGAATGCGTCGATGACGTCACACGGCTAGCTTGGCTAAGATCATTGACTTGCTACGCAGTATTTTATTCCGGAAACCATGTCAATCTCACGACACACGCCTTGACCCCCCCCGCCGGTGGGCCCTACGAGACAACGTCTCTATACCCCTTCGCACTAGGTAGAAGGGATCCGACGGATCTTTCAAAATCGCCGATTCGACACAGGCACAAGTGTCGCCGTCGCAAGACGGACAGAGATGGTATCTCCTGTTTGCACATTCAGTGCCT